TTGCTTGTAGGAACGAATGCACTGTGTCAACTGGATGGAGAAATATGAATGTGCCTTTATACCCTGCAGGTATATACAAGTGTTGTTAAACGTGTTATGTATGCAGCGTCGAACGTCTTTAATGTGTACTCGAATCGTACGATTCGAACGGATAATATTGATTTCAAGTATAAAAGTGAAAAATCACTTATCACGTAGAAGTGCGCGCTTTCGTTTACGGCGTAAAACGACGAGATCAAGTTGGTCGGTCGATTGGTACGATGGATTAAATCGTCCCCATCGATCACGATGAACCACAGTGACTTTACATCGACGCGTTGTGTGGCGCGTTTCGAATATATATATATATATATATATATATATGATGTAAGGAGATCCGTGGTCCGGCTTCAGAGAACTGGCCTTATCGATTATTTTAAACGAGAAAAAAAAAAAATCGATACACTGAACGCGCATAAGCCGACCTTCGATCGATATTTGATTTGATCCGAATTGATACGAAATCTCAAAAGTGACCGGATGGATCCTATTGAAATTGCATACAACTCGTTCGACGTTCGCTGAAACACACATTTGAAGAACTCGCGCAGATTCAATTCTTCTGATTGATTCTGATGCCTCTGAATAATGGACGTTTAAACCTTTCACACTGGATAAGATCACATGGTCGCAACGGAATTCGTCGCTTCTACCTCTTCGACGTTCTCTTTCATTCGTGGGATACTCTTCTCGCTTCATGTAATCCATGTGCGTATACGATCGTTTGTAAGAGATCACGCTAGCAAATCGCTAGCAGCGAGTTTGCTTCTTCTCGTTTACGTTACTTTCTCTACACGCGACGGTCAAATAAAAGTGAAAAGATCGGAAACAGAGACGCCCGTTGCTCTGGAGATAGAGGCGCGAAGCGATCTGAATCTTTTGCAATGACTCGTTCGTAATATATACCGGCAATGAAATTCATACAAGTTCCACACAGACAAGCACGCATTACCACACTTCACATTTGCGAACCGGGTTCATTCGCGAACCTTCGGGACAGTTGAACTCAGTTGCAAACTCCGGTAGATTTGAGAGTGACCCTATCACTCTATATTTTGGCGGACAATGGGAATCTTTCTTGATTTGGAGAGCTATCGCCTCGGGCATTACAGAGGAACACCAAACCTAACAGCAATAAACCATTTCTTTAATTTCTTCAGAAATGCAGTAAAAAAATAAAAGAGTTTCATACCTGTATACGTTATGTAATTGAGAGAAATGAATATCATAATTAAAGGTCATTCACCTGGGCGAAATTTAGGAAGAATAATTGTTGATGTGTCAAATTAAGACCAGGTAGAGGTAGTTGATCCTTGTAGCTTTTCGGCGTTGAAAGATAGGCATGAAACGCTGCTTTGAGACCACCATTATCAGCAATATTCTCTCCTAGAAGAAATCGATCCCATTGGTCATAATATGTAATATCCTAGAAATATTCGTAATCTAATTATTAGTGTAACTGACCCAAAGTTTGCCGTCCATTCACGTGTCGACCGTGTATTCCAAAATTACTGTACTGTTCAACGAAACACTCGGTTCTGTTCTTAAATCTCTCTATCGTAGCATTATTCCACCATTGGTTCAAGTTCCCATGCAAATCGTATTCTCTTCCTAAGATGTTGGAAATAACAAATAGAGAGAGATATGTATAAAATCAAAATGTAGTAGAGAATACGGCAATACCTTGGTCGTCGAATGCGTGAGTCAATTCATGTCCCATGACAACGCCTATACCACCAAAATTCAAACTATTAGGATTCTCTATATCATAGAACGGACTCTGTAGGATACCAGCAGGAAAAACCATCTGATTTTTCGTAGGCCAGTAATAAGCGTTCACTGTGGGAGGCGTCATTATCCAAGTAGTTTTATTCACAGGCTGATCGAGCTTCTCTAAATTTTTTCGCAGATTATACTTATTCACCCGTATGTTGTTTTGAAAATACTCATTCTTCTTTATTATCAGATCATTGTAACGTTCGTCGAGTTCGTTCGGTTTCAAGATGAAGTTCGGGAACCCGACCATATCGGTGATCGCATTTGCTTTCTCCTCGGCTGCCCTCCTCGTCTCCGCGTCCATCCAATCGAGATTCTTCAAGTTCTTGGTGAAAGCTTTCCGCACCTGATCGATCATCTTCTCCGCCTGGAATCGATTTGAATCGCCGTTTAAAGCCGATATCGACCCTACGAGCACGCACATCTATTATCATTGAAAAATATTGAGTTGTGAATTAACCATGGGTTTGCTCTTTCCATGGAAAACTTCTCTAACGAACATCGCACCAATTGCAAAACCCATCGCGTTATGCGTATCGCTGACGCAGTAACGCCATTGCTCCTCGCGGCCCTCCGAACCGATCAAAGCTTTCCTCAGGCCCTTGTAAGCGTCGCGAAACGGTTTCGACAGGCAGGCGGTTAGAGTTCTCACGGTTTGCCAAACCAGATAATTATTCAGTATCCTGTCCGGGAGAAAAGAGAAAGAGAAAAAGACAAAGTAAGAAAGGGGAGGACAGAGAGCAAAAAATAGAGTCGAGATGGGATCGAAACTCGAAATGTTTATTTTTCTTTCTTTTTTCTTTTTTTTTTTTTTTTTTTTTGCCCCCCCTTTTTCTAAGGAGTGTCTTAGTATCTTAGTCAGCAACTGAAATCGAGAAAAGTTTCGAATTTCGAGAAGTTTCGAAATTTCGAGAATGCTTGGCGATAGGTGAAAGGAAAGGAAACTAGATTAACTAGCGTAGGTTTTCGAGACGAATACTCACACTTTCTTATCGTTCGTTTTATTGTAGTCTAATACCAGCTTGGACAATTTGACGAAATATTCTGGAGCATTGTTCACGATCATCGTTTCGTTAGTCATCTTTATGTTAACGAGTCCCGTTGCATTTTGAAAATAGTCCAACCAGGATATCTGCAGTTAATCCGAAGTCAGTTAGAGAATAACACAAGATAATAAAGGGGATCTTGATTATCGGTTACAAATTATAGAAAAAAATCCTACTGTATTTATCGGAACTACGAAGTGCCGCGAAGTCGCGATGAGAACACAGAGAAATACAAATACAATTTAAAATATACTTACGAAAGGCGTTTTACGCTGCAATTCCTTCAAAGACATCAAATTGTAAAGCTTCTCTTTGTCCCGGCGATCCTCCAGTGGTGTCATAATACGTGCCAACTCCGTTTCGAACTTTATCACGTCGTCCATCTGTTTCCTCGTCGAATTTTTCTCTCCGCCTAGCAGCACGCCTATCTGCAAACGTGTACGAGTACCTGTACTCGATTCACCGGTTACGAGATTACAAGGTGCCGAGAAAGAAGGAAATCCAGGTAAACGAAAACGTAAATCATTGCCATTGTACCTTCGTCATGTATTCCAAGTAAGCAGCCAACACTTTACTATGTTCAGTGACGTTTAGGTAATTGTCGGTGGTTGGTAGCGTTAAACCTCCTTGATCGATCTTGAAAATACAAATCATTTTGTACAATAATTATGTGCTATTTGAATTTTCTATGATATTGTTTGACGAGATTATTTGTACATAACTAAATAATAACTGGTTTCCTAGTTTGATGGCGCCTTACTTGTATAATGTGCCTGCTGCTATTCCGATCATCTTCGTTCACCGCCCAAACAAATAAACCATCCATGTTATAAACATTTTGCAGAATGTGCATAGTATTCTGCAAGGACCACTGGCTAACATTGAATTTCCCAGAGATGTTCCAGCCACCGATAGAATCCAGCAAATCCAGCATCGGTTTCGCGCCAAGTGTTTCGATTGTATCGTTTGCGTCCATACAGGAGAGAAAGTAGTATTTTGCTTTCTTCTCGGCCTTCGATTTCATTTCTTCGAACGGTTTCCCTGCAATCGCAAGAGAAGGGAAATGAAGAAGTCGAATGCAGAGAACAGCAGAGTGCGAGTCGTCATTTCAGCTTTGTGGAAAATAAGTAATTCTTAATGGGGGAAGTGATTGAGAATTAAATTTAATTAAATTTAATTGAAATTGAAAAATTGTTTGAAACAGATCCCATCAAATTTGAAACATCCTGTATATTTATTAACCTTCTTCCCTCAAAAAAAAAAAATTACTTAATTGCCACTTTTTTTCTTTTTTTTACCAAGAACATTCTTTATGACCAGCTGATTGTTTTGCTCGAATTTATCAAACGTTCCCCACATACTGCTTCCCTCTGGTATGGGGTTCTTCTTGATCCAACCACCACACGCATATTCATAAAAATCGTCACATGGATCGATTGAAGGATCTATGCTATTTATAATAGAAGCGCCTACTGTGACACAATGTTCGGTTAAACAGGCTGTACCATCTAAAACAAAATGACACTTCTAATATCCTCTAATATTCCATAGGTTTCGTGCACAATAATTTATACTATCATTATGCTTACTATTATTATACTGTTAAACTTAATAAAGAGAATAAAGATACGTTGCTGATAAAATAGCGATTGACAAATTTTTTTATGATACAATATACAGCAACGTGATATATTTTAGAATTGTTTCATCACAAGCTCACTTTCTCCGTGCGAAGTGACATGAAGTATTTGATTCTTGATTATGGATAGCATCACGACCATCAACGAAAGTACCGCGCAAATGATGAAGAGACATCTCTCCAGTGGACTTCTGGCTCTCCACAGCGAGAATCCCTGTATACGAGGAATACATGAACAAATGTAAAATCAAACCTTTAAGTCTCTTAAAATTAAAGTCTTCAACAGAGTTCCACCAGGCTCTCTCTCTAACTTCGCTTATAGTATAGTATAAATTTAGTCCTACGCTATACAGAATGTTCATATCATATCAAAGCCCCTTCGCAAGCTTATCACTAGACTAGAACGTCCGAATTTTCGAATCGCTCACGTTATATATTTTAATCTGTGACTATCTATCAATGACCCAAAATCTTCCGACTTGAAGCAACTATGTACAAACACTTTACTTTCTTGAAATTCTTTCATTTTTTTTCCGCTTTTCCGGAAAGTGGGGAACCAACCGAATTGTATCTGATGTGCGTCGCCGAAGTACTGATACCCTCGCTGTTCAGAGCGACAGAGCCGATGCTGCTGTTCTCCTCGTCCGTGAACTCGGCCTGCTTGTACATCATCATCTGAAATAGAAATCATAAACAAGCTAGAAAGAACGTGGTTGTTCACAGACATAAACGTACATTTCACTCGGTCTCGTGTTAAATTTCCTCGATGAAAAATGATAAAGATATGAACGAGCAAGAGCAAGTGACAGTTTCCTCTACAAACGCAAATTTACACTAACACGGGTGACTGTGGATTTTTCTACATTTGTTAAAAATTGCAAGAACATAAAGAACGCGCGTAATATGGGAAAGTATACGAAAGAATAATAGGATAAAAGTCGCCTAATATGGAATCTGTTTTAAACAACATAACTCTTGACTTTGAAAACACTTTTCTTAAACTTTTTCACTTGTTTTTAAATCTATGTCTTGTATTTAGGCGACTGTTTGCTATAATATTCAGGAAATAGAATTTGATTTCTCTGCAACTTCTCCGAAATTCACGTGCATGAACTCATATTGCAGAATCATTTTTGATTCTTCGGAATGGAAGATGAAAGGATCTCGCATTGGTCTCGAGTCAAATCGGAAACGGAACGATTTGAAACACCACGTTACAGCAGGAATCAAGCGGAAAAGTGTCTTGAAGTATCGGTAGTCGCGCAGTGTGAACATTTCACTCGCGAAATTACTCATGGCGATACGGTTTTAGACGAAACTAAAAATACCATACCGCCGAGTAAACTTTCGGTTACAAACACCTGGATTCCTCCATTCGTCTTCGTTCGAAAAACGATTGTTCGTCGGAGATCGTTCGCGAAACAAACATTTCCGAAATAGCCGAACTTTCATTCTAATCGTGGAACTACTCAAATGGAATTGAGTAGAATCAGTCGCGACGTACATCCGATCCCCCGCGGCATTCTTCAATTTAACTGTAACTCGTACATTCGTAATTAAGCTATATATATATATATATATATATCCCGATATTTCAACAATGTGTGAAACTCTCAATGTCATCGCTTTGACAATGAAGTTTGATCAGTTGGAAATTTGCGCAATCTTCCACTGTTTTAAGTATTGTTACAATCTCTGTGAGATATGAATTTCACGTTGCTCGCGAAATATCGAAATAAAAGAATGTTTTCACGAGCCACTGAACATATATTGGATAATATATATATGTTCTCGTATACAATTGGCAAATTGGTGGATTTTTACATATTCATATAAGAGATCTAAAGATGAAAGTGTGTATTAAACATGCAATAGTAATTCAAAGTAAATCTTACTCGTCTGTTTGGATTCTACTTCTTGAACTGCGTACGTGAAAAGTATGAATTCGCATAAATATATATGAATAAATAACAATTAGAGTTTACAGAGAAAATCGGAAAATTCCCCTTGAAACGAACAGCGATCGACGCGAAATAGAGGCACTTTCGAAACATGAAAGAAACACAACGAACCGCCTGTGTCGAAACTGCGAGCTACTGCACGCGGCAACTGCACGCGTGCAAATACGAACATCTGAAGAAGCGCGCGCACGCGTCTACAATCGAGTTGCTTGTTTCGTCTCCGACCTCCTAGCAGGAAACGGACACTTGTAGCCTCGTTAATACGATCAGAATGCTCTTCGTCTCGCATCGTGTTCCGCCTATATATTCACGACAATCGCATCTGAGAAGGAAAGCCAGGCGGCGTGACCCATTCGTTGGAGTGAAACGAAATTTCAGAGCGGCCAGGAGGGGAGGACCCCGAGTATAAAATTTTAGCGGTGGATCTTTCAGTATAAAAAAAAAAAAAAAAAAAAAAAA